CGTGGCGGTTACAAATTCGAGAATGCTGCCGAAATGACAGGTGGATAGCGTGCTAACCTTTCTAGGGAGTTTTCGATAACACACCCTAAATGTAATTCTGTAAAAGTTCAGACTAAAAAATTTTACAGAGTTTGGAATATCTGACTTATTTATTTGAATTTGATGTTTTTCATATTCGCATCCATTAATCTTGAAACTTCAGAACTCTTTGAAAAGTAGCCGGGGCATTTTTTGATCTAAAGGGCATTCCCAAGAATTTGTTCTAGTTCAGACCTAGGAGCTGAGTTTGGAATATCTGATTCATTCATTTGAATCTGGTGTTTTCCATATTCACATCCATTTATCTTGAAACTTCATATCTCTTTAAAAAGTAGCCGGGGCATTTTTTAATCCAAAGGGCATTCTCAAGAATTTGTCGTAGATCAGTACTAAGAGCTGAGTTTGGAATATCTGATTCATATATTTGAATCTGGTGTTTTCCATATTCACATCCATTAATCTTGAAACTTCATAACTCTTTGAAAAGTAGTCGGGGCATTTTTAAATCCAAAGGAAATTCTCAAGAATTTGTCCTAGATCAGTACTAAGAGCTGAGTTTGGAATATCTGATTCATTCATTTGAATCTGGTGTTTTCCATATTCATATCCATTAATCTTGAAACTTCATCACTCTTTGAAAAGTAGCCGGGGCATTTTTTAATCCAAAGGGCATTCTCAAGAATTTGTCCTAGATCAGTACTAAGAGCTGAGTTTGGAATATCTGATTCATTCATTTGAATCTGGTGTTTTCCATATTCACATCCATTAACCTTGAAACTTCATAACTCTTTGAAAAGTAGCCGAGGCATTTTTTAATCTAAAAGGCATTCTCAATAATTCGTCCTAGATCAGTACTAAGAGCTGAGTTTGGAATATCTGATTCATTCATTTGAATCTGGTATTTTCCATAGTCACATCCATTAATCTTGAAACTTCATCTCTTTGAAAAGTAGCCGAGGCATCTTTTAATCCAAAAGGCATTTTCAATAATTCGTCCTAGATCAGTACTAAGAGTTGAGTTTGGAATATCTGATTCATTCATTTGAATCTGGTGTTTTCCATATTCACATCCATTAATCTTGAAACTTCATAACTCTTTGAAAAGTAACCGAGGCATTTTTTAATCTAAAAGGCATTCTCAATAATTCGTCCTAGATCAGTACTAAGAGCTGAGTTTGGAATATCTGATTCATTCATTTGAATCTGGTGTTTTCTATATTCACATCCATTTATCTTGAAACTTCATAACTCTTTGAAAAGTAGCCGGGGCATTTTTTAATTTAAAGGGCATTTTCAAGAGTTTGTCCTGGATCAGTACTAAGAGCTGAGTTTGGAATATCTGATTCATTCATTTGAATCTGGTGTTTTCTATATTCACATCCATTTATCTTGAAACTTCATAACTCTTTGAAAAGTAGCCGGGGCATTTTTTAATCCAAAGGGCATTCTCAAGAATTTGTCCTAGATCAGTACTAAGAGCTGAGTTTGGAATTTCTGATTCATTCATTTGAATATGGTGTTTTCTATATTCACATCCATTAATCTTGAAACTTTATAACTCTTTGAAAAGTAGCCGGGGAATTTTTTAATCCAAAGGGAATTCTCAAGAATTTGTCCTAGATCTGTACTAAGAGCTGAGTTTGGAATATCTGATTCATTTATTTGAATCTGGTGTTTTTCATATTCACATTCATTAATTTTGAAACTTCATAACTCTTTGAAAAGTAGCCGGGGCATTTTTCAATCCAAAGGGCATTCTCAAGAATTTGTCATAGATCAGTAATAAGAGCTGAGTTTGGAATATCTGATTCATTGATTTGAATTTGGTGTTTTCCATATTCATATCCATTAATCTTAAAATTTCATAACTCTTTGAAAAGTAGCAAGGGCATTTTTTAATCCAAAAGGCATTCTCAAGAATTTGTCCTAGATCAGTACCAAGAACTGAGTTTGGAATATTGGAATATCTGATTCATTCATTTGAATCTGGTGTTTTCCATAAACTCAGCTCTTAGTACTGATATAGGACGAATTCTTGAGAATGCCCTTTGGATTGAAAAATGCCCCAACTACTTTTCAAAGAGTTATGAAGTTTCAAGATAAATGGATGTGAATATAGAAAACACCAGATTCAAATGAATGAATCAGATATTCCAAACTCAGCTCTTAGTACTGATCTAGGACGAATTATTGAGAATGTCCTTTGAATTAAAAAATGCCCCGGCTACTTTTTAAAGAGTTATGCAATTTTAAGATTAATGGATATGAATATGGAAAACACCAGATTCAAATGAATGAATCAGATATTCCAAACTCAGCTCTTAGTACTGATCTAGGACAAATTTTTGAGAATTCCCTTTGGATTAAAAAATGCCCCGGCTACTTTCCAAAGAGTTATGAAGTTTCAAGATTAATGGATCTGAATATGAAAAACACCAGATTCAAATGAATGAATCAGATATTCCAAACTCAGCTCTTAGTACTGATCTAGAACAAATTCTTAAGAATGTCCTTTGAATTAAAAAATGCCCCGGCTACTTTTTAAAGAGTTATGCAATTTTAAGATTAATGGATATGAATATGGAAAACACCAGATTCAAATGAATGAATCAGATATTCCAAACTCAGCTCTTAGTACTGATCTAGGACAAATTTTTGAGAATTCCCTTTGGATTAAAAAATGTCCCAGCTACTTTTCAAAGAGTTATGAAGTTTCAAGATTAATGGATGTGAATATGGAAAACACCAGATTTAAATAAATCAATCAGATATTCCAAATTCAGTTCTTGGTACTGATCTAGGACAAATTCTTGAGAATGCTCTTTGGATTAAAAAATGCCCCGGCTACTTTTCAAAGAGTTATGAAGTTTCAAGATTAATGGAAAACACCAGATTCAAATGAATGAATCAGATATTCCAATATTCCAAACTCAGCTCTTGGTACTGATCTAGGACAAATTCTTGAGAATGCCTTTTGGATTAAAAAATGCCCTGGCTACTTTTCAAAGAGTTATGAAATTTTAAGATTAATGGATATGAATATGGAAAACACCAGATTCAAAGCAATGAATCAGATATTCCAATCTCAGCTCTTATTACTGATCTAGGACAAATTCTTGAGAATGCCCTTTGGATTAAAAAATTCCCCGGCTACTTTTCAAAGAGTTATGAAGTTTCAAGATTAATGAATGTGAATATGGAAAACACCAGATTCAAATAAATGAATCAGATATCCAGAACTCAGCTCTTAGTACTGATCTAGGACAAATTCTTGTGAATGCCCTTTGGAATAAAAAATGCTTCGGCTACTTTTCAAAGAGTTATGAAACTTCAATATTAATGGATGTGAATATGGAAAACATCAGAGTTAAATGAATGGATCAGATATTCCAAATCAGCTCTTAGTACTGATCTAGGACAAATTCTTGAGAATGCCCTTTGGATTAAAAAATGCCCCGGCTACTTTTCAAAGAGTTATGAAGTTTCGAGATTAATGGATGTGAATATGGAAAACACCAGATTCAAATAAATGAATCAGATATTCCAAACTCCGCTCTTAGTAATGATCTAGGACGAATTCTTGAGAATGCCCTTTGGATTGAAAAATGTCCCGGCTACTTTTCAAAGAGTTATGAAGTTTCAAGATTAATGGATTTGAATATGGAAAACACCAGATTCAAATGAATGAATCAGATATTCCAAACTCAGCTCTTAATACTGATCTAGGACAAATTCTTGAGAATGCCCTTTGGATTAAAAAATGCCCCGGCTACTTTTCAAAGAGTTATGAAGTTTCAAGATTAATGAATATGAATATGGAAAACACCAGATTTAAATGAATGAATCAGATATTCCAAACTCAGCTCTTAGTACTGATCTAGGACGAATTCTTAAGAATGCCCTTTGGATTAAAAAATGCCCCGGCTACTTTTCAAAGAGTTATGAAGTTTCAAAATTAATGGATAGGACCACATAAAGTCCATAAACGTTGGATCTCCCAAAGCAAGCTACTGTTAACTATACATTGAAAAATGCTTGAATATGCACAGGATTCGATATCTGGACTTATCCAAACTCAGTTTTTAGTACTGATCTAGGACAAATCAAATTCTTAAGAATGCCCTTTGGACTAAAAAATGCCCCGGCTACTTTTCAAAGAGTTATGAAGTTTAAAGATTAATGATCTGATTCATTCATTTGTCATTTGAATCTGGTGTTTTCCATATTCACATCCATTATTCTTGAAACTTCATAAGTCTCTGAAAAGTAGCAGGGGCATTTTTTAATCCAAAGGGCATTCTCAGGAATTTGTCCTAGATCAGTACTAAGAGCTGAATTTGGAATATCTGATTCATTCATTTGAATCTGGTGTTTTCCATATTCATATCCATTAATCTTAAAATTGCATAACTCTTTAAAAAGTAGCCGGGGCATTTTTTAATTCAAAGGACATTCTTAAGAATTTGTCCTAGATCAGTACTAAGAGCTGAGTTTGGAATATCTGATTCATTCATTTGAATCTGGTGTTTTTCATATTCAGATCCATTAATCTTGAAACTTCATAACTCTTTGGAAAGTAGCCGGGGCATTTTTTAATCCAAAGGGAATTCTCAAGAATTTGTCCTAGATTAGTACTAATAGCTGAGTTTGGAATATCTGATTTATTCATTTAAATTTGATGTTTTTCGTATTTAATCACCATGTGCAATTTTTGTTTTCCTGAGCTGTACATTTTTTTTGGGAACAGACAAGTCAAACCACAACGTTAAAATACCGTTACCCAAACGTAAACTCTCGCATTAATATAGAAAGTGGGTGATATTTTGCGGGCGGCCGTGTGACGTCGGAATTCAAGTGTTTATGTTCGTTAGGGCTTTAGTTCTGTGTCATTAACCTACAAATACAAATACAAAATTCCTGGCTTGCGTTTTGTTTCAACGCACTACTTTTTTATGACGCAGATTCCGAACAATCGCCCGGAATGTACCTGAGGGATGATCCACTGATGTTTGGCAATCAACCGCCTCATTGCGAACTGAGAGTACCATCTGCAGAAAAGGCTGCTCATTATTTGGATGCTGCTATTGAAGGCAGGTCGCAGGCTACCAGGGATTTGTGCAGAGATTCACATTTGTTATTCACTTTGCATGTATATCAGTACAGTGTTGCTGGAAAAGGTGGAGGTAAGTTGAATTTTACTAGATGTTGTTGGGAAATAACTCAAGATTAAGAGACATGTTTGATTGAATGCCGTTTAGTTTAAGGCCCTCAGCAGTTAAAAAATTTCTCATAAAAATATCCATTCGTAACGTCATTGTTATCATTTCCCTTGTTCCCTCCACGGCGTAGATTAGAAAAGTAAACTTATGCAAATACATTTTTCATTTGCCCCTGCTCTTGTGCAACAACAAAGATGTCGCTGCCCTCGTTCGCCCGCGCGCGTTCCCGATTTATTATAATTGAGTTTTCTTATCGTTGGCGCGGCAACAAAAAAGTAGCTCCCATTCCCACTGCTCGTCTCTCTACTTACTTAAAAACTTATATTCCTCGTTTCTTTATTCTCTAATCTTGGGTGGAAATTCTTTCTCTCGGCGGCTCTATATCTGGCCCCGGGCTAGAACTGTCTCAATCTGATATATTCACTTTTCTTTTTGTGTTTGGGAAAATTTTCGCAGTGGCTGGTGGTAGATCAAGACTGCACCTAATCGATCTCGGCAACTCTGAACGAGGCAAAGCCAGCGGAGGCATTCCATTATCCGGTCTTGGCAATATACTTCTGGCTATTTTTAATGGACAAAAGCATTTGCCTTACAAAGAACACAAGTTGACGCATCTTTTAAAAGGTAAATATACATCAATTGTTGCGACATATAATGATAATTAACGTTGAATTCCAGACTGTCTTAGTTCCTTAACCTGTCACGCGGCAATGATAGTTCACGTGTCACCCTTCGCGCAAAATTACGCCGAAACGTTGACGACGGTGCAATTGGCTTCCCGAATACACCGAATGAGACGGAGAAGAATCAAGTTTGTTTCAACGGCCGCTGGAAATGGATCAGGTAATGGATTAAAATTATTAAACATTGTAATAAATGATAACTTTAGGTGGCTCATCAGGTGAAGAGCAAACTCGTACAACAGGAACAAGCAGCGAACCAGACCCTTCAAGTAGTGACTTGTCTGCTGATACAGTAATCTATGTAGGCCGGGCAGATGACGCTACTGACGGTGAACATCCGCCGGTTTACATCCCCAGCCTCAACTCCGGTGATAATCGTTGCTCAATGAGTAAAGCACTGAGAGGCTCGTCAGCGGAACAAAGACCTTCTTCGACGAAATCGTCTCCAAAGCCTGAAGCCTTACACCGTCCAATGAAAACGCCCTGTCAGAGCGCCAAAACTTCTCCAGCGCACACCAGCTCACCAAAATCGTCCCCCAGTCGGATTCCTTCCATTAAAAAACCTCCGGAAACGATAAAACATTCTAATGGTGCTAGCGATGAACAGTGGATCGATGGACCTAGGTAAGAACATAAACATATTCTATTGTCCTGGTTATTTGTTTAGTCAGTGACCTTGATTAGGTTTAGGAACCTCTTCAATGGTGAGTTTAGAGATTGGATGTCCTGGCCTTATCTGTCTGTATATTCACCAACGTAAAGCCTCACATTTCATTCATTCGAAGTTTATGTGGGTAGCGGTTTCATCCTCCTCGTCACAAAGCCTGCATATGAGTTCTTCTTGGAGGATACCCATTGTGTGAAGGTGTTTACTCAGGCTACAGTGTTCACTTATGAATCCTGTTTAATTGAAGGATCTTTTCAGTAAGTTTAGGTGATGGTTGTTGTACCATTAGCTTACTGTGTCCGAGCTTCGGAACAGTTTGCCAGTAAGTTTGGTATTGTCGATACACCCATTGGTTTATTGTAGTTCTTACCGAAGATTTTGTTGTGCCAATTGCCGGTTCAAGACCATTATAACTGGTTGCTGATCCTTCTCGTGCCAGAGTATCTGCTTTTTCATTTCCTTCAATTCTTTTGTGGCACCCATACATGGTCATACTCAGGTTTTTGAGGTTCCCCAAGCACTCCCAGACAAGTTTGGATTTTATTTCGCAACTGTTGAGTGCTTTAATCGACACTTGACTGTCTGAGCAGATAAGGACCGCAAAATCTCCAATGAACTTCCTGAAGAAGTTCGCCAATCCTAGGAACTGCCGCACTTGATGGACTTAACTGACCTTATTTTCCTATCTCCTGGGGCCCGATTCTCGTCCCAGGGAGAGAAGAGCTCCCCCAGACAACAAATTTTTCGTCTTTATCATTCTCGTTCACTTTTCGATTACGTTGACAAGAACAAAGCATTCATTCTCTCGGGGAGCTCTCCTCTCCCTGAGACGAGAATCGGGTCCCTGGACGTATACCTTGTGCAGACCTAAATAGTCAAGCTGCTGCTTGAGAAAAGAACACTTTGTTGGGTTTAATGTAAAACCCACCTTCTGTAACATTTGAAATGTCACAAGAACATATTTAATAATTGTTCTCGGTTGATTTCATATATTTTGGACTCATTTAAAATCTTAGAGCTAGCGCGTTCCTACTCCTTATGTCTTTTACTTGCTCTAAGTTTAAAATACTATTCCGTGCACCTGGCGACAGCTATGTTTTTCTGACGGCTTGCTCACTCCGTACACTTCGAGTGACTCCATTCGCACTCCAGCTGTTCGGGTACTGCTTTTTACCATATAAGGGGTTAGTTTTATTCACTCCACTCCAACTCCGAACCTAACTAAAGTTATTTTTAAGAAAACCGCTAGCGCTGTCATTTTTATAATTTCGACAGGCTTGACAGAGGAAGAAAGACAGAACCACAGGGGTACTTTTGACTTTTCTTTTCGATTTTATAGTTAGACTTTTATCTCTGGTTAGACTGAAAAGGTCGTCTCTGGAAAATCCAAAAACTTTGGTTTTCATTCTTGGCCATCGAGCTCAAAATTATATAAATTTAACTAGCCAGAGTAGTGAGTAATTATGTCAGCTGGAACGTTTCTTGGAAAATCAACTGATTGTTGATTTTTGTGGAAATTTTGAAAAGTGAGGTTAACTATCGGCCGTTAGGTATGTAAATCCCTTTTTCCCTTTGATAAATGAGTCCTTATATTTCTTCAATCCGTTCAGGCAATTTGGGAGAGTATTAAAAATCCACGCCTACACTTCTGGGTGAAAATTTGACAAGTTTGATACAATGCGGTACTGCTTTTCCAAAGCCAGTCTGGGCCCCCTCTACAAGGAAAGTTGTGTCTTGTAAGAGATTTATCCCCGACCATTGGATGATTGCCTTCCGTCAATTTGGTGCTTCTGGATCTCAAATTTATGAAGATTTCCAAGGATTTCGTCCAGGCTTGTATAATTACTATGGGTCTTGTAACTGTGCCTTATTAATTACTGTTACCTTATATTATCTTTTTTCTACCGCTCCCTATCGATTAGCTTTATTAGCTAATAATTATCCTTACAAATATTAATAACTGTTAATTATAATTATCTTTTTCTTTATCGCTCACTATTGATTAGCTTGATTAAACTTTTAGAGGTTAATTTAACCTTTAATTTCAAATCAATAAGGTGGTAATTCTACAAGGTAAATCAATGTAAAATCTTTAGGTAGTTGAATTTGAGTTTCACGGTTACATATTTTGAATTTTAATTACAGGTAAGACGGTAGAGCTCTCCCCGATACTTTTGATTATAGGTTTTGGCATTTATAACTCCCTAGGGATTACTTATTACCTTTATGCATTTATAGATTTGATTTTATTGATTTGATTGACTTTAGTCAAAAATTGAAGGTTAATGGTATTAGGACTTCATCATTTATACTTAGGTAAATTTCTTCATAGGTATCTATTGATTGTTTTTGAATTTCAATTCTATTATACTTATTTAAATTAAGTTCTGCTTTTGAAAAGCTGCTTATGGCCGTTTGCGACCATTTTAAGGAAACCTTAGCGATAAGTATCCCTTAAGATGACATTTTTACATGGAGAAATGTCACTTTAAGGAATACTTATCGCTAAGGCTTCCTTAAAATGGTCGGTGCAAACGGCCATTAATGATTTTTTTTTTTTAAACTTGGATACTAGATATTATTTTTCTTAGAACCATAGAAAAACAGTTCGTTACAAACTAGTGGCGCCCTCTCTCTACTGTACCAATACCAAGGACCACCCCAAGCTAAACAACCACTGAGCAATAGTCGAGCACAAATTATGAACATTCTTTTGTTTCGACAAAAGAGCGTTACACTTCCTGACTTTATGCTAGATAAAGTCAGGAATTTTTCTAGCAGTCCCTGAAGCAGTATTATACCCTCCTGAACCGTACGAGATGGAATAAGAAGGTCATCCATATAGGCCAGCACTTGCTCTCCGCGCATGCTTCCAAGCATTTTGTTTATTGCTCGCTGAAAAATAGCTAGACTGTTGGCCAACCCAAAAGGTACTCAAAAATATTCATAGTGCCTGTCTGGGGTAACAAACGCTGTCTGTGGATGCAGGATGAATAAGTACCTGATGAAATTCTGCCACAAGGTTCAGTGTTGTACATATAATAGCATTTCCCAGCCAGCTTGTCCAATTGGTCATCCATGAGTGATATACTGTACCTATCTTTTACAGTAATTTTGTCCAACTCTCGCTAGTTGACACACAGCCTGCAGCCTGATGTCGCCTTTTTTTTTGGATTTACTCTGGCATATTAGTTTTAGTGCAGTGGCCTGTTTCAATGAGGTTTCCCTAATGTGCTTTTCAACTAGTTACTCTATCACTTTTGACATGAGAGACGATAAGCTTATCAGCCTGTATGATCCGGTCTGAGATGGATCTCTGCCAGGTTTTGAGATAAAGACCGCTTTTAATTCTCTGCAGGACTCAGGAATACAGCCTGTTGTCAAGTTGGCCTTGCACAGCCTGCAAAGAAACGACCGCCTATTGTAAGAGTGCTGGCATTATTCCATCTGGTCCCGGGGATTTAGAGCTGTCGAATGAGCCTATTGCCCATTTTATACCATCGTTAAAGCCGGCTGCACACGGTCCGGCAGGCCGCAGGCCTGCCAGTTCGAACTGAACAGTTTATCTGAAAGCCGATTGCCGGATCGACTGAGGGCCAAATTTATAGTCGGTCATTGAGGTTTCCTCAGAACTTTTTCACAAGGAAGATTCAAGGAAGGACTATTCATTCGGTCCTGATGATACTCCAAATGTTCAGATGAATCTGAAATATTTTTGAGCCTCAGTCGTCATGGCCTCGACTGACGATGATTACTCCTGTAACGCTACTTTGGTTTTTCCGGACGGTCAAGGGGTTTTCGGAAAACTCGGGCGCCACACTTAGGATTATAGTGGTTAAGGGCCTACGTGCACCAGGCAGCCTTTAAACAGTGGAGACGAAAAACCAGAGGTCAATATGCGCATCCCCAAAATGAAACACAGAAATGTAACCAACAAATTAAGTTTATTAGGTCGAATGTCGTAATGGAAATGATAAAAAGTTATATTTAATAAACTAACGGAATGACGAAATGAGAGAGAGAGAGAGCGAGTGTGTAAACGAATACTAGCGTGCCTTTAAGGTTATGCGGTGGTAAATGCGAAAGCTCTTACGGGACGGTTACGAAGGACGGTAACGGTACGCGGGAGTGAAAAGCTCTGCAGGTCCACTCTCGGGGAATCCAGCTCCTGTCAGTGCTGGTGATTTGGCCTTTTTAGGCGATCTGTGCGGGGTGCAAGACGTATCCTTGTATGCAAAGGCATAAGGACAGAGAGAGCCACCCTGTAAACGGTCCAGCTCGTAACCCCCTCAAGTCCGTCACAGAAAGATTAGAGCTACCCTGTAAACGGTCCAGCACGTAACCCCATTCAATCCATGTATCCTCCTGTATAACAAGAGCATCATGCACGAAAGAAACGAGTTGTGTGAAGTGAAAAATACTGAATGTACATCGATATAAGGATAACGGGTGCCACCCTGTAAGCGCTCCAGCACGTAACCCTCATTGTCCGTCACAGACAGAATAGGGCCGTAACCCTATTAAAATACCCGGAAAATTATGTAGCTTCGTTACACACCCCCTCTTCTTCGGTAAAAATGTTTATAACTATAAATATTTTCTAAATTTTAACAATAATTTAGTTTATACGATCCCCTAACACACAATGAAAGAAATTAATATATTCTATAGTCGTGGAATTAACCAGGCGTAAAATATTATTTAAATTAATTATCATTTAGAATTAATCCGGCCGAAGTAATTAACTTAGAACCGCGGTAGTAATCATTAAAATACCCGGAAAATTATGTAGCTTCGTTACACCCCTTACGTTATTGACCGACAGGCGTGCATACACACGTTCAGACTTGCCTTTGAGTACATCAGTCTTAACTGACAGATCGACCGGAATATATACACATTCAGGCGACCAGCCTTTAGTTGGACTGTTCAGTTCGAACTGACAGGCCTGCTGGACTGTATGTAGCCGGCTTAAGTTATCACTTTTTTAGCAAGTTCCGTTTTCACGGCTTGATGGGTTTCTGTTATCAGGGGTGTCTTCAGTGGAGTCTGGAAAATGGGTTTGAAGAAGTAAACTTGAAGTTTCATTCCATTTTTTTATGAAATTTCTGTCAGGTTTTCAATGGTACCCGTCAGTTCTGTCGAACTGGCTAGAATTTTTTGGATTCGGGCTCTTTCGCTGTGTGTGTTTTTCCAGGAATATATTTTTGCTTTCCGGATTTTTTTGTTGTATTTAGAAATTAATTTTGTTTTCCAGAATATCCAAAAGTAAAGTAGCCGAAGCCCGACACCTGATGAAAGAAGCGTGCCACATCAAAAAACGCGAAACGTGGATCGACGGCCCGATGCAAGCGTCCACCGACCCTCAAAGCTACGGCTACATGGACTCGCACAAGAAAAACATGATCCGGAAATGGGTAGAACATCAAACAATCCAAATAACCAAAACCGGCACTAAACACCCGGAAACCGGCAGTAAACACCCGGCCCGTCACAAAGAGCTCACCCAATTCAAAACCGAAGAAGTCCAAGTCCAAGAAGATGAAACTTTGATGAAACCACTCAAAACTCAAGACATTGAAAAGGGCGTGATTAGAACAGGGTTGAAGATACCAAGTGCCCGGGCAGATTCGATAGCTGAAGACGAGCAACAAAAAAAATCGGATGATGATGATGATGAGGAACCAGCCCTGCCTCCTGCTCTTCCAATTATCCAGCCCCTAAGCTCACGGGAAGTTTCTCTGGAAAGCCTGGACATGATACTCAAAGAGCGCATGTTGTCCAACGCCGAGTACCAGAACAAAAGCTTGATTCATCAAAAAGAAGAAGAAGAAGACGAAGATGAAGTATTGGAAATCATAGAAGTTGAAGAGCCATTGGAACCGGTACCCACTATGGATAGTTGTTTGCAAGTCACCGAAGAGGATATTGCACTATGTATGGGTTTTTCGGAAAATCCTTTGCCAGAAGTTGATCAAGAAAATCCTCTTGACCATCCTTTGAGGATATTGAGCCAGGAGAACCTAACTGTTGTTTCTACATTTACGGATTCTATGAGCGTTTATACGGATTTAGAGAGGATTTTGCCTAGACACAGGTAAGAGAATAATATGTAATAAAATTTCAATAGCTATTTATGTACTAAAGGAAACTAGCCCGAGGGCCTCTGGCCCGAGGAATATATTTCGCCTGAAGGGCATTTTAATCTTAAAATCCCCGTGGTGCATACAATGCTTCATTTTCTACTTGACACAATAATTTTCCATCAATTTAGTATCAAACAAAATCAGTTAAACTTGTGACAGAATATTGTTTTTCCTACAATCACCCTAGAAAGCAGGCTTTGTCGATTAGATTTGTGATCGCAAAGTAGGCGTTTCCCGATGACCTTTACTTTGCCGCACTAGAGCGGCACAGTACTAAAAACACTCGCTTGTAAATTTTGTATTTTACCAATTTTTCACTCCCACTTTTTGACCCGACCAATTTTTTTTCCCGATTGACTTTTTTCTTCCCGACTATTTTTCTCCCGATTTTTTTTTCCCGCCTTTTTTTCCCGACTTTTTTTCCCGACTTTTTTTTCAACTTTTTTTTCTCGACTTATTTTTCCTGATCATTTTTTTTTCCCGACCATTTTTTTTCCAGACTCTTTTTTTCGTTTTTTTTCCTGATCATTTTTCTTCTCGGCCATTTTTTTTCCCGACTTTTATTTTTCCCGACAATTTTTTTTCCCGACCATTTTTTTCCTCGACCGACTTTTTTTTCCCGACTTTTTTTTTTCTTGACTTATTTTTCCCGACCTTTTTTTCCTTACTTTTTTTTCCGACTTTTTTTTTCTCGGCTTTTTTTTCCCAAATTTCTTTTTTCCCCCCGCGTCGCGCGTCAACAATATCTTTCGATCGGCAAAGTATCACTTTGCGCTTTTAATACACAAATAGCTATTGTATTTTGACATGTACCTGTACTTAGAAACGAAATAAATTAATATAAGGTACCTGACCCAAATAAGGCCATGTACCTAATAAGGCCAGTGACCTTTATTGCTTAATATTGAATCCCATTTTCAAAAATTACAATATAATTGAAAAAGGAATCTATAATCCAAATCTAAAATTATTGTAAGGGTTCCTAACAACTTGTCATATGTCGAAAAATGGCCTACCACATATTTCATATGTCACGTTATAACTTTGAGGCTAGAACTCAATTAGCTTATACAGGGTGGGGCACGAAAAACTTCCCACCCAGGTTTTCTGTGTTAGGTAATTAATTAAAAACGAACACGTCAATTTTTGTTTTTTGGGGGACATATTTTATTGATATTTTCACGCCCTACCTGTTAACTCCTAAGTGGGGGTGACAGGTACCCCCAAAATTTCAAACGAAACGGGGGGTCGAGTGATACGTCATTTGATAACTATTTTCATTAAGATTATATCCCCGAAGTTTTGAGTTGTTACTATTTACCCAGTCAAAATGGCGGCTTGTCAAAGTTAGGAAAAATCAATGGAAAAATGCTGTGCGGTTAATAGCCATAACCCATAAGTAAAATACTATACTTTTTCTATGATCAATAGATAATAGGCATGATTTATGCGGTTTTTTATTTAATTTTCGTAACAAAATCAATTGACAATTCTGACAGCTGATCGACAAAGTGAGGTTGGGTTAGCACGAGTCTTGTCAAAATCAGGTGTCGAATTTTCTGATTGGCTCTTAAATAGTGGAGTAATGAGCCCAGGATATTTTCATTGGTTGAAAACAATTAAATAATGAAAAAAAACTCACTGAATGAGTAATCATTCACATTGATCAATAGAAAATGGATGTATATTACGCATATTATTCAATACTTAAAGAAAAAAGCATTTATCCTAACTTTGACACGCCGCCATTTTAACAGGGTGAACACTAGCAACTTTAAAACTTCGGGGATATAATCTTAATGAAAATAGCTACCAAATGACATATCACTCGACCCCTCTTTCCATTTGAAATTTTGGGGGTACCTACCTGTTACCCCCACTTAGGGGTTGACTGGTACGGGGTGAAAATACCAATAAAATGTGTTCCCCAAACAACAAAAATTGACGTGTCTGAGCGATTTTTGAATAAACACCTAACACCTGAGAAACTTTGGGTGGGAAGTTTTTCGTGCCCCACCCTGTATGTATTGAGAAAGCTACGGAGTAAGTACAGAATTATATCTTCGCTAGATTCCTACTTACAGACTTTTTTTTAACAATTTTACATGTTCCCAATAAGGCCATCACACGTCCGACTACATGGGAAACGTTGATGGTAGACCGGGTTCGAATCCTGGCCAGACCGAAAATTATTTTCGGTCGGACATTTACGGCCATATTCTCCGTAGTTCATAAAGCCTGGCTTAGTGGAAACGCTTGGCTTTTTGTGTGACAAAACCGAGGTTTTCCACTAAGCCAGGCTTTATGGACTACGGAGAATACGGCTCTTAGTGACTGCCTAGGGTAAAGTGCAAATTAATAAAACAACAACAACAAAAACATCTCAGGGTATTATAAGCGTTGACGCCCGCTTATAATACCCTGAGATGTTTTTGCCCGCAAAACCGGGCGTTATGGATTACAACGTCCGCTGGGCTTATAATGTCCTCAGATTGTTATAGGTATGTTAACGTATTTCGTTTCCTAGGTATTATGGATCTATAATAGTTAAGTAGAAAATAAAAATATATATTTCTTTAAATATTAGGTACGAAAGGTATTATGACGACTATGAAGATCCAGACAACCCGCGCGTAAACGGCAACCCCGCCTTTGACGACACAACTCGAAGAAAATTCGACCAACTGGCACGATTGCACGAACTCTACACCCATCGACTTGCCAAGGCCACTGTTGCCAACTCGGAAACTTACCAATCGCAACAGCGCCACCCCAGATCGCTTACCCGCTGTGGCAGTCTTACCTTGAACGACATGCTTTACGGGCATACACAGAACGACGTTCCAGACAATAGCAGTATCTATTCAGAACCTGCTTACGTGCAAGAAAAATTCTGCGAAAATTGCAGAGTGAATATGTCGAGGCCGAGTACGGTGCAGAACTGGTACGAGCAAAGTTTTCTGAGTGCGAGTACGCAGGATTTGTCTAGGCATTGCGAGTCTGCAAAAAGCGGAGGAAGATTTCATCATCAAGGACATTGTCACAATAGCAAATTAACCACTAGAGAAGCTAATTTGGCTTTTTTAAGGCATCCCGACGGTAACAGTTATAATTAATTAACTTCAGTTATTACAAAATCGCATTTATAGGTGCATCGAACCCAAATTTACTCAAAGAGACAGCGTGTAGTAGGAGCGCGTTGCCTCTTGATGTACCGTCGTCCAAAGTTGCTGTTCCCGCCTCCTCAATTACTAGTCAACCAAGTACGGAACGAATGAATCGAGCCGTTCTGAGCCTGGAAACTGGTCTGAAGTTGACTCAGAAGTGCGAAGAGTACGATTCCGGGCACGATTCTACCCCGAGAACTTCCAAACATAGTCCTGCGGCTATTTCTAGGAGAGCTGAAAGCGGATACGATTCAGTGGTAAGTTTTTGCTGGTTTGGATTAATTGAATTAAATTTTGAAGGATTGTTTTAGGTGCGCGACAGCGAAAGTAGCTCAATCGATTCAGAGCCGACGAGGTTTTCCCACGTTGGAAGGAGAGGCAAGTGCAAGCACAAACACGAAAAGAGTTTTTGCTCGTGGTTTCTGAACCCGTTCACCTGTAAATACATTGACGAGCCACCTGAGACACATTTTTAAGAAACTGTATTGTCCCTATACTTTTCCCCAAACTATTTTTCTATACTCTTCTTATATTATGATCTCAGGACATTGTAGGCTGTATTTGCTTCGAGTACGCGCACCAGTTTTATACCCCTCCTGTAGTATAATAATATTCTTCGTATATATAGATTTTTAGACATTTTCTAACTGACCAGTTTAATTTGAATGTGCAATTTATATCCACCTAGTCACACTAGCGCAAAAAAATTATTTCAAATTAAATTGGTATGTGTAAAAATACCCCGAGAGAAAAAGACCTTTTTGCAGCATATTATAATGTCGTCCGAAAATAAGTAGCCATTTTTTATATATACTCGAGTTTTGACTGGTTAACCTGTTACAGGGCTTAAGATAATTTTTACGTTAAAATGTGTCAAATTTTTTTCTTAAATCGCACTCGAAAATCTCATCTTCCTAAAGATTGCTTTTCTCCTAAGACCCTTCAAGGGCTTCTAGAAAATATATTTTGCATTTTATTATTGTGATATATTATTGTGTATTTTTTTTTTTAAATGTATTTTTATTGTTAATCTGTCCAAAAAAAAAAAAATGTTTAAACAAATTTTGTATTGTTATTATTATTATCGCGTTTTTTTTTATTGTAAAATAGCTGTTAGAGGATTATTGCAGTTGTATTTGCCATAATAAATTAAATATTTATAAAAAAAAAAAACAGTATCTGTTTTATTGAAGTTTCATAAATTGGGAACATTTTTCTATTTGTTGTTATTCAATGAGGGAAATCGTCCATATCTGAAAGAGACAAGATGGTGAATGCACGAGCAGTAACGAAAGTTTAATATTTTTTCCTTAAATTTTAATCTTTTTTCTATTCATTTGTAGTTTAATTCATGTTGAAGCTGAAAGCTTCCTTAATAAATAAAAAAATATCTGGTTTCTATAGGTTTCTCATATTGCCAAAAAAAAAAAAATAACAAAATTAGATCATTGACTCTAAGGCAAAAATATCACTCAGTGTGTTTTATCAGATTGTAAAAATCATAGCACCGTTATCCTGGGCTATTTTTTCATAAAATTTTAGTATGTTGAAGCGAAGAACTTCCTTAGTAAATAAAAAAATGTTTGGTTCTTCCAGGTTTCCCAGATTTCCAGAAAAAAAATCAAAAATCAGACCAATGACTGCAAGGTAGAAATATCACTCAGTCATGTTTTATCGGATTTTAAAAATCATAGCTCCCTTATCCTGGGCTATTTTTTCATAAAATTTCAGTATGTTGAAGCTGAAAGCTTCCATGATAAATAAAAAAATATCTGGTTTCTAAAGGTTTCTCAGATTTCCAAAAAAAAAAAATAACAAAATTAGATCATTGACTCTAAGGCAAAAATATCACTCGGTGTGTTTTATCAGATTGTAAAAATCATAGCTCCGTTATCCTGGGCTATTTTTCCATAAAATTTTAGTATGTTGAAGCGAAGAACTTCCTTAGTAAATAAAAAAATATTTGGTTCTTCCAGGTTTCCCAGATTTCCAGAAAAAAAATCAAAAATCAGACCAATGACTGCAAGGCAGAAATATCACTCAGTGGTGTTTTATCGGATTTTAAAAATGATAGCTCCCTTATCCTGGACTATTTTTTCATAAAATTTTAGTATGTTGAATCTGAAAGCTTCTTTAATATATAAAAAAATATTTGGTTTCTTCAGGTTTCCCACATTTCTAGAAAAAAAATTAAAAATTAGACCATCGATTCTAAGGCAGAAATATCATTCAGTGTGTTTATCGGATTGTAAAAATCATAGCTCCGTTATGTTGGGTTATTTTTCCATATAATTTTTGTATGTTGAAGCTGAAAGCTTCTTTAATATATAGAAAAATATTAAGTTGCTTCAGATTTCTCAGATTTTCAGAAAAAAAAATAAAAAATTAGACCACTGACTGTAAGGCAGAAATTTCATTCAGTGTTTTTCATGGATTGTAAAAATCATAGCTCCGGTATTTTGGGCCATTTTTTCATAAAATTTAAGTATGTTGAAGCTGAACGCTTCTTTAATAAATAAAAAAATATTTGGTTCCCCCAGGTTTCCCAGATTTCCAGAAAAAAAATCAAAAACTAGACCAATAACTCAGGCAGAAATATCACTCAGTGTGTTTATCGGATTGTAAAAATCATAGCTCCGTTAATTTAGACTATTTTTCCATAGAATTTTAGTATGTTGAAGCTGAAAGGTTTTTTAATATATACAAAAATATTTGGTTCCTCCAGATTTCTCAGATATTCAAAAAAAAATCAAAAATTAGACCACTAACTAGAAGGCAGAAGTATCACTCAGTGTGTTTATTACGAAAGCGTAGAACTGCCATGCTAATATTGAAAAATATTTTTATGAAAATTTACAGTTTTTCTGTTAATTTACACTTTTTCTGTAAATTCACACTTTTTTTGTAAATTTAGTTAAAAGTTAGGGTTAGTTTGGGTTAGCTTGCACACATTTCCAACGTTACCAATACTAACCCGGTTAGTTTAGGTTACTTTGGGTTACTTTGCACTTTTAATCAGACATCACCAAACTTACCGATAATTACCCGGTTAGTGAACAGAGTTGGGCCCTTTGTGTAGTTCACTAGAGGGTTGTAAGGCCTCCAAAGTCCGTATCTCTGTGCGTGACGTCCAGGAATTATTGCCTGAAAGTCACTAGTTATCTTGAACCAAGATAACGACTACAAAGCCCTTAGGGAAGAACTTTGGGGATAATTATCACAAATGGCTACTTTGTGTAATTAAATGAGTAGAAACTATTATTGTTTGATACTGGCTTTATTATTCAAATTGATTCTTATTTATATTAAATATTTCAATTTGAACCTAACAATATTTATCATAACTAATAATAATTAATTACAATATTTTTCATAACTTAATAACAATTAAAGGTGTGTTGACTTTGTATCTAAAACACTGGCGCTACGCGGTATCATAACGGAAATTAAGGTGAAAAACCCGTGAACATCGATTCGTGGTTTTTTAGTAACTTTGGGCAAGGTTTGCGATGGGTTTAATTACCTTGCCTTATTTCCTAATAAATTGTGGATTTTATAATGATGTAGAAATTTCAGATTAAATTAAAATTTATGTTGAAATTTCTAATTTATGTTGATTCAACAGTTAGTTTGCAATTTTATTCAAAAATTCCCAAATTTACCTATAATAAACCAGTTAGTTTGGGTAAGTATGCAATTTTATTTACAATAACATACGTAATGTTGACATTTCTGACTTTTCAAAAGTTCCAAAGTGATACTTTTTTGAATTTTACTATTCTTCCGGGTGAAAAGTGGTCCCGGGTGGAAAGTACTTACTTTCCTAAAATGTTAAAGACAAGTCCTGCATGTCAAACGTTTTAGATAAGTCTGAACTTGTCAACAAATTTTTAAAAAAATTTATTTAGTATTTAGTCGAAAATTGTGATGGTTGTAATTGTTGTAAATAATAGTATAATATACAGGGTGTCCACTTAGTGCGATATCGGATGATATCTCCTTACAGGGTGATGCAAGAGAAAAAAATTATATTACAAAGTTGTTTGATACTCTAATATGCAAAACAGTTGAACTTAGGTATAGGGTATATTACATGAAATCTGCTCAGAATTTTACGTAGAATCCAAATATGCAATCACATACAGTGATCTATTTGAAATAAAAAAGTTCTGACGCATACCCTATTAACGAAGCACCCTGTATATTCAAAGATATTTTTAACTAATGCATATTAGAGCATCAAACAACTTTGTAATTTAAATTTTTTTTCTTGCATCACCCCTCGCATCACCCTGTAAAGAGATATCGTCCGATATCGCACTAAGTGGACACCCTGTATAATAAGTGTGGTAACTAGGTTATTACCGCACGCGAGAGAAATTTGCAAACCGAGCCGGTGAGACGATCGAGGTTTGCATTCTCTAAGGACGGTAATAACCTAATTACCATAGGTATTAAATACAGTATTTTATCTACAACCGTGCGGTAACAAAATATTCGGAAGAAGTTTAAAAAATTATGAAAAAAAAAATCGCGTCTGTCACCCTTTGACAGTGGACATTGGACTAGTAGAATTTAGGTGATAGGTAGGTAATTTATCTCTGGTAGGTAATTCAAGCGTGCAGTAATATGGTACTTACCGCACGCAAAATCGTGTAATATACCTTAGTTACCGCACGCTTGATGTAGATAAAATAGTATACAAACCTCAGTAGGAAGTTTTATTCCTGTCTCGAGATTATAGTTGACTTCGACGCTTTACGCCTCAGTTAACTAACTAATCTCTCGACAGTATAGAAACACTTCCCACCTCGGTATGTAATATACCGATATTCAGCTATTTACAAACTCACCAATAATAACCCGGTTAATTTGAAATTTCAATCAGACATATAAACTTACCGATAATAACCCGGTTAGTTTAAGTTAGTTTGTAATTTTAATTAGGCATATCCAAACTTACCTACCTATAATTTGCCTATAACAACCCGGATAGTTTGGGTTACTTGCAATTTTAATCAGACATCACCAAACTCATGGATAATAGCCCAGTTAGTTTGCAGTTTTAAAAAGACATTACCAAATTTACCGATAATAACCCGGTTAGTTTGTTTTAGTTGTTTTAGTTGGCTGTTCCAAACTACCGATGATAACTCGGTTAGTATGGGTTATTCTGCAATTTTAGTCTGACATTACCAACAATAATAACAATAACCTGGTTAGTTTGGATACGTTTGCAATTTTTATCAGTCCTCTATGTATGTTCAATTCAATTCAAAATACAAATTTCGATTTACTTCCGAACGCTGTTATTTCGAGAATAAACCTTTTCGAAGACGCTTATTTCAAATAACCTTTCTTTCAAAAATCAATAATTTTGAAAATATTTATATTTTTCGAAAACGCTTATTTCGAAAATCAATAATTTGGAAAACATAATGTTATTGTTTCATTAAAATCGCACACTAACCCAAACTAACCGGGTTATTATCGTTAAAAGTTTATTAATATTGAAACTGCAAACTCACCGGGTTATTATCGGTAAGTTTGGTGATGTCTGATTAAAATTGCAAACTAACCCAAACTAACCCTTAAGGGCCCCATACACTACGATGAAACACGACGGTTTTCACCGCCACGATGAAACACGTCGTTCTAAAACCGTAGTGTGTAATAGAAAAACACGACGGTTTCCTACAGGCCCCCACAGACTACGATAAAACACGACGGTTTTAATCGCCACGATGAAACAAGTCGTTCCAAAACCGAAGTGTGTGGTAGAAAACCGTAGTTTTTCATCGTCGGTTTAAAATTCAGTCCGAGCTTGATTTTTGGCACGTCGGTTCAACATTTCGTACACACGAACGGTTTTCTACCACACACTTCGGTTTTGGAACGACGTGTTTCATCGTGGCGATGAAAACCGTCGTGTTTCATCGTAGTCTGTGGGGCCCTGTAGAAAAACCGTCGTGTTTTTCTACCACACACTTCGGTTTTGGCACGACGTGTTTCCTCGCGGCGGTGAAAGCCGTCGTGTTTCACCGTAGTGTATGGGGCCCTTAACTATCAACTTACAGAAAAAGTCTTTTTTTCATAAAAATATTTTAATATTAGCATGGCAGTTCTACGCTTTCGTAGTTTATTATAGGATTGTAAAAATCATAGTTTTGTTATGTTGGGCTTTTTTTCCATCAAATTTCAGTATACTTAAGCTGAAAGCTTCTTTAATATATAAAAAAATATCTGGTTCCTACGGGTTTTTCAGATTTCCAGAAAAAAATATCAAAAATTAGACCATTGACTAAGGCAGAAATATTACCGTGTGTTTCAGCCTGGGTCAAGCAATTTGGGATGATTTATCAATTTTTTAAATTTTTCTGAGGCTTCAAATCTGATAATAATTTTGTGTATGGAGTTCAGGGTATTACGAGGGACCAGTAGAACGCAAAATCTCGACAAAAAAAAAAATTGAAATTTCATCATTTCAGTACTGAGGTAGCTAATGATTTAAATTTTGGAAAACTTTGAAAGTTCATAACTTTTTTTCTATTATAGAGAGTTGGATTTTTCAGCGATTCTTATTCCAGTAGAGGGCTACAATTCCTGAAAATTTCAGCTCATTTGGACTTATAGTTCCAGAAATAAAATCGTGTTAAGCAATTTGGGGTGATTTATCAATTTTTCAATTTTTCTGAGTGCCTTTTTTCATAGAGTCCGGCTCCAAATCTCAGAATAATCTAGTGTATGGAGTTTGGGAGATCCCAAAGGACCATTAGGACGCAAAATCTCAACAAAAAAAAAACTGAAATTTCATCGTTAGTACCTTTGAAAGGTCATAGCTTTTTTTCTATTACAGATAGAAAACTGAAATTTTCAGCGATTTTTATCCCAGTAGAGGACCACAATCCTTGAAATTTTAGCTCATTTGGACTTATTAATTGAGGTTCATCTTATATCTTGAGGCAAACAATGAAATCGAAATCAAACCATTTGAACTTGAGAATATAATTTACAATGTTAGTAGTGTCATCTAGTGGCTAATTTAAAAATGGAAAAATCAAACAATCATTTAGTGATCACTTAAAACTACGAAAACTGTGTTTTGGTGAATCCAAAGGTTATCTTAACAGCTGATTATGTTATCAATCCCAAATTATTTAAGATTACGTTTCCATTCCAGCAAGCAACAAACAAACAAAATTTATTTGGTTAAGTGGGTTTCCAAAAAAATGTCAAACTTTAAGGTTTTAAGAGACATTTTTAATGGCGCAGTTAAATCTGTTCAACCAACAACGATAATCAATAAACAGGTACCTAATTAAAATCAAATAATCCGAATTTCCAATTAATTATTACTTATTTTAAGGTAAAAGTCCTCGAGCGTCATCTTTGGGTCAACAATCAAGCTTTCCCTCTAACAAAAGCCTGCTACGCAGTAGGCTTTGGCAAGGCCGTGCTAGGAATGGCCCTGGAATTAGAACGCGCTTTGGGTTCGCATTTAGAGAGGGCACTAGTGACAGTTCCCAAAGGAATCTTCCATGAGGAACAATCCAGTAAAATCGATTTTATCGAAGGAGCCAAGGATAATTTGCCCGATAAAGAGGCCATGGAAGGAGCATTGAAAATAAAACATCTAGTGGAGGAGTTAGGTGAAGAGGATTTATTGATTGTACTGATATCGGGTGGGGGTAGCGCTCTTTTGCCTCTTCCACGGCCACCGATAACTTTGGAAGAAAAATGCGCGATTGTTAAGGAGTTGAGCAGAAGTGGCGCCACTATACAGGAGCTAAACACTGTCCGGCAACAATTGTCTTTGTTGAAAGGTAGCGCGGTAGCTTCTATATGAAATCATTTGGTGATATCTCTTCATTTTTAGGAGGTGGTCTGGCTAAATTAGCCAAGCCTTGTAGAGTAGTTTCTCTTATTTTGAGCGACGTGGTCAACGATCCTGTGGATTTGATTGCTAGCGGTCCAACTGTTGAGATTGGAGACAAATCAGCGGATGCCATCGAGGTAAAACAAAATAGATTCGGATAAGACATTTTGCTTATATTTTATGTGCTCTAGAAATTAATTCATGCAAAAGGGTATTATTTTCGAAAAAAAACGAGATATTGGCATCATATCATTGTATAAAAAGTAACGAGTACTACAAACTGACCGCAAATTTTTGGCCACCTTGTTGTTGTTTTCCTCCGCTTCGCGACGGGAAACAGACCACATCTTGCTCTAAAATCTAATAATTTTTTCCCTTGTATAATGAATAACTATTATTGATGGGATATTCCATCTTTCGGTGTTAAAGTTGCTCAATATATTGGGATATAGAATATCATCCATAACTCTTTGGAATGTAGCCGGCGCGTTCTTCAAACCAAAAGGCATGCGCAAGAACTCATAATGCCCGTTTTCTGTGCTTGAATGCGGTTTTTTCGATGTCGTTGTCTAAATCTAAGGCAGTGAAATACTGGCAGCATCCCAGCTTCTTCAAGAGTCAAACTGTTTGTCAAAGTGGTTATAGCAAAAATAACAAAAACATAAAACACACAAGTTTGATAAAAATAAATAGTTAGGAATGTTAGGATCAGGAACTCAATATTTTTGTACCTACTCACTACACCCACTACATACAATGCCAAAACCTTCTTCTACTACTACTACGGGGGCTCAAGCCCCCATTGTCCCCATGGTTCCGGCGCCTATGTTCTGCCTCACACTATTGCGTGACATGACGAAGTTCCGATTTAGTACAATAAATTTGTGCTTACAAAATCCTCTCGTGGGAAAGTTTTGGGGTAGTTTTGATTTTCTCCTTTCTTTATGTTTTTTGAGATGCTGAGTCCGAATCTGAGGTTTGCTAACGAAATTTCGTGACGCAACATTGGAAAAACTGCGAAAAAAGTGAAAAAAATTGTAGTTTTGGCAGTCTTTTGCGTATAACTCGAAAACTGTCCAGTTTTTGGAGAAAACACCTCTATTCAAAATAAAAGTAAATGAAAGTTTCTATAGATGACATCTTTTGTAGGACGAACCATTTGGGCGCTAGTTGAATATCTGACAGAACAGTGATTCTTTCTAATGATGTGAAAGAGATTGCGAAAGATCTGCGAGATGAATTCAAAATTAAGGTTCAATTTTTGGCGGAACGTGGCCCAACTGTCAAGCCTGGGTTGTATATTTCAAAATGGTTACCTACTTTGATAAAGCACTTTATTGAAGTAGAAAGAAGCAGCGACTTGGAACTGCACCTTCAAACCATATATGGAATGATTTCTTTCTCTCACGTCAGTGGCCATAATCTCTATGTTAAATGCAGTCATCTATACCTCCAGGATATACTCGCTTTGAAAACTACAATGCCACCTGCTGAATACGAGCGTTTCACTACAGAAAAATTCGGAGAACTGATAAACTTTGGTGGTGGTGGTCTCACTCATGATTGTGGAGTAACTCCAAGTGTTGTAACAAGATGGACACAAGGGATGACAGCATTACATAATGTGTGCCAAGAAATTGAGCACTTCACTGGAGTCGAACACGCGACGTCTGAACAACACGTTGACAGAGATACAATGCAAGAGCGACACATAACCAAAGCAAGAAAATTACTTAATTGGTTCCACGAACATCCTGCTTTTCCAGAGAATACTAACTTGATGTCACTTAGTTCAGGTATTGTCGCAGATGATAGAACCAACTGCCAATAGTCCAAGGAGGTTGGCACTCAAAGTATGTAGCGCATTGTTGGAGGTGACTTCAAAACCGTGAAAATCAAGCAAAGCGATAGAGCGCAGCCTCTTGCAATCATGAACAGCTGGATCCAGATAGAAGACAGGGCTGTAGTAATCAATCCTATTACACTTTTCCAACGAATGACCATCGTGAAACATACAGATTCAGTTCGTTAGAAAAGTTTGATAGGATTGATGAATTACTAATGAAGAGCTACCAGAATTTTTATGTTACGAACTTAGGCCCTACCCTCTCTTACTTTTCGATAAGCATGGAATGAGAAATATTGCGACAATATCATTTACTGAATCGATGGTGCTTGTCCTGCAGGAGAGTTTTCTTGCAAATTCTACAAACAAGAACCGGTTGATATTCATGCTTATGAAGAAGTTGAATGAAGCAAACATTGAATCACAGCAAGCAGTCGATGATGCTGATATTCTTATAATTACAATAGCGCTCAAGTTGGCTTATTCTAGTGAATACCTAACAGTGGTGGGGCAAGAGATGGATATTATGGTAACTTTAATTGGCCTGTGTAGTCCTGCTATAAAAAATGGCTCTTTCATGAAACTCGGAAAAGAAAAGGTGTCTCACAGCATCTACGATCCTCACCTACTAGACAAAACCCTATCGCACTATATTTTGTTCCTGCACGCCATGAGTGGTTGTGACACCACGTTCGCTCTGTTCATTCAAAATTTCTCAAAGTCCTGGCAGTCCTGCAAAAAAACAATGACTTGATACCAATTATTGAAGCTTCGAGCTGACCAGGACGAGATTGCCCAAGCAGGCAACAGGTTTCTCATGGCTTTTTATGGGAAAATCCGGGAAACTCGTTTGAATAATTTGAGATACAGGCATTACATATCATGATCCTTCGGAAGTAAACCCAACATTGCCGCACTACCTCCCACTGAAGCCACTGCACGAGAACATTCACTGAAAGTGTACTTTCAGGGGCAGCAGTGGTTATCTGGACAAACCATATCCGATGGAGAGCAACAAAAAGACCCGAACGAGTGGGGGAGAAAAAAAATCAACAGTGGTCTTGTGTCTGTTACAACCACGTCCAAATTAGCACCGGACCTAATACTAAAGAGCATATCTTGCAAATGCACGAAAGAATACCTGCGAAATGTAGGAAGACAGGCTTTTTATTGCTCGTCAATATGCAACAGGTTGTGTGAAAACGTCAAGTCCCCGGATGACAGCGTTGAAATTGACGAAGAAGGGACCGAAAAAAGAGACCAAGAAATGTCTCGAAAAGAACGCCCAAACGATGTGGAAGGTTTGTCCATGTCCAATCGCAAAATAGTTTTTCTCATTTCCCAGCTCAATCTCCGATATTTATAGTACAGTTGTAGCAAAGCGCCCCAAGTACTTTATGTAAATAGTTAGATGGTAAATGGCGAGCGGTATATTGATGGTGTTTATATTCTTGGAGCTTGCTATCTTAAATCTGTGGAAGAGGGTCTATTTGCAAGAGAGGGAAACAAACTAATGAGGTGTACTAAATTATATTTTATTTCACATAAATCCCAAAAAAATATCAGCCAAATATCTTTCAAATACTTTACATCCTTCTTTATGTCTATAAAGTCAATACTTCACATCCGTTCTATATTGTTATTTTACGGACCACTGAAATATCCCTACTAAATAAGAAACGCCCTATTCATACTATTTCTCATAAATTATAATGTAACTCATTTTTACTACATCCGAATCATTCCTAATAACTATCCTTTACCTAATCAAATAATTCTTTAAAATCTCTAAGTCCTTTATTTATGAAAACCCAAGGTAATTACCTATTTGTTTATCAACTAATTTATTCTCATAAATTCTTGCAATGACTTCTACTTGAAACATAAAATTCCTAATTCAAAATTCATTTCATGAACAATAAATTCTTTTAACAACTTTCCCATAATTTAAGACAATTCTATTTCATGAACAAGTTTAATTTTCGAAACATCCTATTTCCTTTTAATTAGTTTATTTAATCAGAACAAATTCTATTATAATTTTCCTTTTTAACAACATTCCAATATTTCAAGAAAACAATTCTATTTTATGTCATCAAATTTCTTGTCAAAATTTCCTATTGCAGTTAAAGTTTATCAGAACAAATTCTATTTTCGGATTCCTATGCCTAGCTAATAAATCCAACTGTTTAATTCATAATTCCAACTCAAAATTGAATATTGTTAAATGCATTATAAGTACTCTTCATATTTTTATTGCACATTTAAATGTCATTATATCTGAAGGTTATTAAAGTTATGCGATAATGTTTCCTTCATAAAACACTCAAGTTATTAATTTCGTTGTAATAAAGTTCCACCGTTAAAAGTCAAAAGTTTTCTAGTAAAATTGACACAAAGTCATGTTCATCAAAAATAGATCTTGTCACTATAAAGTACTTACATTTTGGCCATAAAACACACGTAAAATTTCTTAATTAATTACTCAAAATATTTAGCTAGCACGCACATAATTTATTGAACGAATTTCAAATGTTATTACTTTCACGATTTTCCGTAAATTTTCTAAGTTAAATTATACCCGAGGCCATAAGCCATGAAAGAAACTTTTCGCGAAACTGGTCAGACTTCAACTCAAATGGACGACTCAACTGTTTTCTGGCAACTATATCTTCTCCTTCTAAAATTGCGCTTTTTATATAAAACCCGGTGCTCCTAAATCACTTTGTCCATGACAATTAAGATGATGCAATTTCCTTAGAATTTTATATTATTTTTAAACCTGAAATCAATTAATTATGTCGCAATAATCTGATTTATTGAGGTCAAAACATTATTGGTTCAAAAATGCCATATATCATTAAATTAATTAACATGCTGGCCTTGGCTAAGAAAAAAGTTCATTGATCGGTTATTAATGATGTCATCACCTCGTTTTTATCTGTTTTAAGAATTTAATTTAGATGATGGCTGGATGCAATACAGTTTTATTTTTAATTTATTGATACAGATTTAAAAATACCTGAATTAAGTTTTTGATTATTTGATAAAAATTAAAATTTTTACAGTAAAGACTTTGTAATTATAGGGTCAAATTTCTGGATCATCACACAGTCATACAAGGATTCATCTACTGAAAAAATCCGAGTGAGCCTAAATGTTGTCCTTTATTTTACCTCAATAATTAATGTATTAAAAGTCCCCATCGATATCTTATTTGCGTTCCAAGAATAGATATTCAAGGTCAAATATCACAGGAATGAGTTTTTCTTAAATATTTTGCTTTCGATATGTCCTACGACTATTTTGGCTAAAAATATTGGGAAATTCTCTTCAAAAAATGTTATTCACATATCATCATACCAACTGTTTCCGCCTGATATGCCAGAAAAACAGAGGGTAGCACCCGTTTCCACACCACCTCAGAGGTCAGATACAAGGCGGTTTTTTTTTACATTTTATCTTTCTTGTTGTGACTTTTAGATGTAGAATGTGCGATCCTCATTCTGGTAATCTGTCCCTTCTTCAACGACCTACAAATGTTAACATTAAACACAGCATCGGCCCATAATGTATTTGGTGCTAACATTTGTACCGTTCAGTTCTGGCTCCGAAATACCGCGCCTCGTGCCGAAAAGAGTTGGGTGGTGGGTAGACTGATCAGGACCAGTCCCGGCTGTACAAACAAGTCCAGCAGGATAACCGCAATCCTTATATTCTGGTTGAACGTACGGACATAGATCAGTTATACTTTCTATCCCACTGATACACGCGATTCTGAATTTGTCGCTAGAAGCTTTCGGGGACTGGTGCTGAACATAGGGCTAATTTCTTCGAAAGTTGTTTCATTTCTTTATCTGCGCATTGGTCCCTGGTGTTTCTTTCTCCACTGTAACAAGCTACCTGGTGCTAGTGGGCCCTCAACCACTATAATCTTGAGGGTGGCGCCCGAGATTACCGCTGGATTAATCAAAAGATAAATACCGACTGTTAAGCTGCTACAGCTCAAGGAAAAACCTAGGAAAACCCGTTACAAGATTGGTGCCCGAGCAGGGACGATTTTACGCATCAGCAACTGACCGTAAAGATTACGTCATCATCCGTCCCCCGTTTCACCGAGAGGCCGTTTATTTTTGTATTGACCGATGGGTTGACCGTTACATCGTGGTATATTTCTTCATGGATTCTTCAGAAGCAACGGCGCTGCTTGGTGTTACTATTTCAATAAGCCACATAATGTGAAGCATCTTTTGTGTAGACATTGATATCTGCATTGTCTGCTGAATACTGAATAAGAGCACCAGTTTCAAATATAGAATATCTGGTTGTGGATGGTAGACAGCAGCAACTTCATACATTAATATTTCTCAATACGACGCGCTGATTCCAAGAGTTGACAAAATATCTAGAAAAGATTAGATGTGAAGGATCGTGAACGTATCGTAGCCAGAATAGCATGACAAATACCGGCACATACACTTCCACTTAAGATGGTCAGAACTAATTCTTCAATAAAGTATGAAAGGCTCTGTGGGATGTTTTCGTTAAGATTATGAAACATTCTACTGGGAGGAGGATAAGATTGACAATCAACAGTCATGAAACGAATGTCTTCTCTGATAATTTTGGTCACAGTTTGTACAATTCGGAGGCGTTCTTTTGCCGGTTGAGATTTCCTATTTTCATACCAAGTTTTACATAAAATATCACTGCGAGTATCGCGGAAACAAATCATGGTCGAAAAGGAATGAAGTTTTGTCGGTTACAACAACCGAAAAGTGTGGAGGATTGAAAATGTTGGTCCTGGGCGGGATTTGAACCCACGTCCTCAGCATTGCCGGTGCTACGCTCTAACCAATTAAGCCACCATGACCCTACAGATCTTTTTGATTGGTGTTGTAAGAGAAAGTTGCGTGGTTTTCCGCTCATTGCCAAACTTCTAATTATACATTGATATTTCTTAGTTTTTTTTTTTGTCTCTGATTCCTCGTTGGCTTCTTCACCACAAAAAAAAAACACAAAGTTTTTAAATCAAAAGATCCCAAGCTAGGTCGTGTGTTGCGAAGAAAATACTGAGATGTACCGGAAGCATCGTCATCTCGTCGCCTTTTAGATGACACTATGCTACTCCCCTAGGACACCAACCTCTAATTCGAGGATTGATGCGGGTTTCCCTTACGACGAACTGGGTTTTCCGAAAACCTTGTTTCGCGCCCGAAGGATTTAATCATTTGTTCTCTCTTTTCTTGCTTTGTGTTCGTAAGCAGCTCGCACCAACAATACTAGGGGGCCTCGTCCACTGGCCGCCTAAAGCGATCCCGATAGTGAGGGGACCCACGCAAAGTATTGTCAGCCTGATACGCGATCCAAGTCCAGGGTAAGCAAGTCACCACACTTCTGTCGAGAAAAATGAGGGGACTTCAGCAGATGCTGCTTTTTTCGGCTTAATATAACTAGAGTATTATGGAAGAATCGGATCTTCTGCCAGGACTTTTCGCTATCGAGGAGCCTCAGCCAGGATCTTCCAATAGAAAACGCCTTGGATAATATGATCTCTTCTTCTTACTAGCCGTTTTCTATCCTCTAGATATAGGACTCTCTCAGATAGCATGATACTATGATCATGAAATCAATAATATACGACAATGATCAAGTGATGGAAATAGTGTTATTTGGTAATAAATAAGAGTATTGCAAATAAAATATGGGTTTTTGTGGAAATAGATAAAATACGACAATTTTCAACTAGCGCTTGAGCCAAAAAGGTTTGTCCTACAAAAAAATTTAACCAATGGAATTGATAGAAAATTTTATTTTCTTTAATTTTGAATTGAGGTATTTTTTTCAAGAAATGGATGGTTTTCGAGTTATACGCGAAAGACTGGCAAAGCTACCATTTTTTTTTTTCTGTTATTGCATTTTTTTCAATGTTGCGTCATGAAATTTTGTTGGCAAACCTCAGATTCGGATTTAGCACCCCAAAAAACATAAAGAATGGAAAAAATCAAAACTTAGTACCCCAAAACCTGCCAAAAATTTTATTTAATTAGACTAGTTGTTCAGGGAACAGTACCGAGACGATCGTCTTCAAAAGTTTGGAGTTGGCTGTGCCATGACTACCTTATACGGCCTGCCTCACAGGTCACACTTACATATTGCTTCTTGCTGCATTTGATGGCTTTGTTAAGTTTCCTATGCGCATCTTTGTATTTTGCCTCCAATTCTTCCACCGAGTCTGGTTTCTTCCCCCAATAACAACTGCGATGTTCTTCTCGCTTTCACACATCCAGAGAAATTAATTATGAGTTAATTAAAACTTATTTCAGATCCTGAGTAGATACAATTTGTACGAATCGGCTCCGATTTCAATTAGAAGCGTCCTAAATTCGCCACCAGAATCCAAGTCAAAAGATGATCAATTCGAAAACGTAGCTAACATTATAATAGGCAACAACAGAATTGCTGTTGAAGAGTCTAGAAAGTTGGCATTGCAAAACGGATTGCAATGCGTTATTGTTTCAAATAAGGTCAGTAGCTATTTTGTTCCTGAACATTGACCGATTTAAAACAATTTTAGGTTGAAGACACGGTAGAAAATTTGTCCCAAGCCTACTCAAACCTGGCTCAAAACATTCTCAAAGGCAACCTACAAAAAATCCAACAAATTCTAGAACAATTACCTTTTAAATTAGAGCCTGAAGCAATTGAAAACGTACAAGGACTTTGTTTAAACAAACCAGTTCTGCTCATTTTTGCAGGAGAGCCAACCCTCAAAGTTACCGGCCAAGGAAAAGGGGGCAGAAACCAACAACTTGCCCTAGCAGTTGCCAATAAACTGGAACGTTCGAATAGTGGAACGGTGACGTTTCTTAGTGCCGGCACAGATGGCGTCGACGGGCCTACAGATGCCGCTGGTGCAATAGTTTCGTCGGAATTGATTTACGAAAACGCACAAAATTATTTGGACGATAACGATTGTTATAGTTTTTTTGAGAAGTTTAATAACGGTAATTGTTTTGTTAAAATTGGTCATACTGGAACAAATGTGATGGATTTGCATTATTTATTAATCGAACCAAATGTTAGAAGGAATAGTTAATAAACCGTTATTACATCTGATACATATGTGTACCCTAAACATAGTATAGATGGCGCACGTTTTAATTAAGTGGCCAATTTTGAAAACTTTTAAAAAATGTCCAATTCTTACCAAGAAATACCATTGAATGTGGCAACAGCGCCTATGCGCAACATTCTCAAACACGAAATCGGACTTATCAATCCGCATTTTGTATTTATGTACAGTTAGTTCAAGTATCTTCGTCGTTGTAGACGCGAGGCGGCGCCAGAAACAGAAAATCCTGGTCCTTCGAGCCGTATTTTTACGTTGTTTATGTCGAAAATGTACCAGAAAACCGAAAGGTTTCGGCAACTGGTGATTTTCGTGTGTTTCCTAGTGACTTTCGGCCGCGGTCAGCTGATTATTAACGTTAAAAATCAGGTGAGAATTTAAGAAAACATGGAAAAAGTTAAGGAAAACATCGAGAGAGAAAAAATCCTAACCTTAAATTTTGAGTTGTTGTCTTTTGTATGTTTATTACCAAACCTTGTAGAATGATGAAAAAAAAGCTTGTCTCGTGAAGTAAAATACAAAAAAATATGGTATGTTAACTAGTACAGAAACTGCCACTTTTCCGCACGATTTAAGGAACACTATTTTTTTTAACGGAATGGAAGTTGATATTTATACCTACTTGGTACCTCCCAATTTTAGATATTTTACTTTTCCGCACTATAGTGCCAATATACATAATAAGAATTAAAAATAATTAAAAAAAAAAAAAATAGTCATTCCACTCGTAGAGAACATATTGTTGCTAATACGTGCGCAAAGTAGTTTTCCCGCTTATCCGAACTAAAAGCTCATCCGTGCGGAAAAACATAACTTTGTCCACTGATTGGAAAAAATACCTATTATTTTCTGATGAAAGAAATAATGTTATTCTTGTTAAAACGTCCAGAGTAAAAACTTGTCCTAAGTAAATACAACTTTTTGTTGGATGAATTAAGGTAAGTATAGGAAAAGGGAAAAACTACCTATATACCTACATTGCTCTTAAGTTGATAAAAAATTAGGTAGGTACCTAAATTTTCATTTTATAAAATCTACTTTAACTTTTGTAAGACACCCTTCAAATTCTAAGAAAACAGCCCCAACTAAAGGGTTGAAGCTTAAAACCACTCCCAGCAACTTATTTCAAATTAAATGGAAGAGGGTATGTCTTGTAGAAACTAATTTTAGAAAATTACAATTTATTTGAACAATTACAGGAGGTCTCCAGACAAGAACATTTTGAAGCTTGTCATTTTTCTAAAAACTGTTTACAATGTTCCCTGTTTTTGTCCTAACAAAACCCTAATCAAAAATCACATTACGGGGCAGTTTTTATGATGATTTTTGTGGAATTTTAGATATGCGTGTAAATTTTGTCTGAAATCAGTTGCAATTAATACTGAAATCATCCTGAAATTGGCATTTATTTCGCAATCACTGAAACTCCTCTTGCAATCGCTGAAATCCTACTTACAATTCCGTAATTGCCTCTATAGTCTTTGTTTAGTACGAGTTCTCCAAAATCCGTGCAGTTATTAGAAAATCATATAGGATTTCTGCAATACGTGTACAGACTGTTCCAACGAGGACTGAATATAGGGTCTTATTTTTGAGCTGGAATTTTTTTTTAGTCATTCATAGCCAGTAATAATGACAATCTAAACTATTAACAGCTCTTGATTTCCTCTAGAAATATTTTCTGTTGCTTTAAGAGCTAGTAATGATCAAAATTTGAATTATCTCCGGTTCTTGATTTTGTCTATAAAATTTTCTCATTAAATCAAGCGCCGATGATGATCAAAATATTGACTGAAAAAATGTTCTAGCGAATCGAGAGCCGATTATAATTAACATTTGACCCATTTCTGATTTCTGATTTTTTTCAGAAAATAGTTTGACATTTTCTTATGTTTTATATGTACAGGGTGTTTGGTATGTCGATGCATATATTTTGGGAGGTGATAGAGTAAGTAATTTAGAACCTATTCAGTCAAACTTACCTTGGTACCAAGTCTTATGGTCTTCAAAATATGGCCGATTTAATGTTTTTCTTAAAATAATCGCACAAATCCTTCGTTGGGCGATATTCAGAAATACTGTCTCAATTATTTTTATTTTGTATCTTCAAGGAATGTCTATTTCCTGTGTTGGATGCATTAATAATAAAATAAATGAAAAATTAACAATAAGAGTGCCATTTTAAAATCATATTGATTCTATTGCAAGTTAAGTTTTTTCAGGAAAAAAATAGGATAAAATAAGGACAACCAAGGTTTTCAAATAATTTAAATTTTTTTGTCACATGTGCCTTTTCGAATTGCACATAGGTACCACAAAAAATTAGATTTTTTTTTTGGATTGCAGCACAAAAATCTTTCAAGACTACGGATTCCCAAAAATGAGTAGGTATTTACGAAAAAATTGGATTAGCCTTATTTTTCTTATTTTTACAAACAAAATGTTCACTTTTAGACTGAAATAAGTGAACAGTCTGTTAATATCTGGCTAATTTTTGTGATAATTTTTGATGTTGTTGCTGAATATTGCATTGAAGCGCTGAACAAAGGGTTTGTTTAAGAAAAATTTAAATCGGCCATATTTTGAAAATCATAAAACTTGGTACTAAGGTAAGTTTGACTAAAGGCATTTTTTTTGAGGAAACAGTTTCAAAGACCGTTTTAAAACAGTTTCAGCTCTGACGTCACTATTTTTATGAACCAAAAAAATGCAAAGCTTCAAAACTAATTAACTTGTTTCTTGTTTTGACAATCTTTGCTTTGATGATGTGTTGTCAGTTAATTTAAAAAAATTAGTTTTGGACGCTTACTTTCATATCCTTTTTATTTGATAATTATATCAAAAAACAATAATAAGATTAGTGAGCGTGTGTTTATTTTGTGAAAATGGAGATGGAGCAAGAAAATCAGATGATATACGGTGCCTTTATATGACTCATCCAAGAACAAAAGACTTTCTCCAAATAAGTACCTGAGGCTATTACTACACTGAACTTTGGGTGGAATTGATGTTTGGTTGTCTTTAGAAACTGAATTTCGACCTTCCTCAAATTTTGTCAGTTGTTCAAGATATTGCTTTGCAAATAGGGTTGTGCCGCTTGAAATTTTCAAATGAAATTTCCATGTTTGAAATATTCAAATGTGAAATTTTCAATATTCGAAAAAAGTGAAATTTCAAAGAAATTGCATATGAACATTTCAATTCGAAATTTCCCAAACTTTATAGAAAATTTCATATGTTTCACTGGAAATTTCATAAATTTCATCGAAATTTTCAAAAAGCGTACATATTTCGCCGGGATATACAGGGAGTTATTGGCAATAATGGCAACGTTGCTCACTGGTTGTCTTGCTCTGGATTGTTGGAATCTTAATTCTTAGCAAATTTCTTATCTAGGTTGCAATTCATTTGCCACGATTCGATTTTACAGGACACGACACGACAAAACAAGTTTCCGAGGCAGATGAATTTCAGTTGGAAGCCTAAAATTATGATAAATACAGTTAAACCAAAAAAACAATAATATTTGGAGCTACTCCACTCAACTGACTAGGAAATAAATAAGAGAAAGGAAGAATGTGTTTTTTCTACGAGCGTGCGGGAAATGGCTCTTTCCGCACTATTTGCTGTGTGGGCAGACTTTCTTGTTTTGTGTGTTGTTTTCATCTCAATACATTTATAAATTTACCTTCTGCACAGTCGCATTTTATTTAAATTACATTTTTCGTAACATCACCTTTAGTACGATTGTAGAAAAAATATAGTTCCTGAAGCTTGCAGGTAGAAATTTCCGGCACTCGGGAGCTTCGTACACTCGTGCCGGAAAAGTCTCCTCCCGTACTTGTTAGGAAAATAGCTATTATTTATTTACATTCGACACTTAAGCCAGAATAAAATGTCTGAAGAATGTCTAACTAGTGTACCTACCTACTTATTTATTTTTGTGTGTAACTATCCTACCACCACCTCAACAACCTCATATTGTCCGTCGATTTTAATCTGATACTCGGACGGAATGTGAGTTGGTGACACCCTACATTAGAACGCTAATGGTTACCTGATGTCACACCTGTTTTTGCCATGTGAAACACCCCCACGCTCCTCATACGGAAAGTGTCAGTTAAAAATCGACGAACAATTAACACCATACCCTGCTAAACTAATACCCCAGCTAATACACAAAGTCACATAGTCATGTCACATCACAATTGAATTTTATAGAACATTTTTTGGAGTCAAATAAATTTTGTTATTTATTGTCGTGCGATACAAATCACCCAATCATGTCAACATAATACTGAAAACAGCCCTAGGGTTGTTTTCACTCTGTGACATTGGTGTCAAAAAAATTTCTATCCGAATAACCCTCGAACATTCATAAATACTCAAAAATTTTACAACTTTCTCAAACTTGTTACCTATAGAAACAGACCTCCGCTAGCGCCTCGGTCTGTTTTCAAGCAATAAGCTTTTGATAAACATAAATAAATTTTTTTCGGATCAATGTTCTTGGGCTATTACTACTGCAAATTTCATGGAATTTTATGAAATTTTATTGAAAATTTCATAGTGAATCATTTAATTTTGAAAATTTCATGAAATTTTGGAAATTTTCGAAAAAATTCAGAAATTTTGAAAATTTCACTGAAATTTCTAAAATTTCAATATTTCCATGAAAATTTCAAACTGAAATTTCCAGATGAAGTGAAAAGTGAAATTTACCCAACCCTATTTGCAAATAGATCATCTAAAAAACAGTGTGGATAATGTTACGGAACTTCCGGTCGAATATTTTTTTTTTATTAACCCGGAACCTCCGAATTATTATTTTATTATTATTCGTCCGGAAAATAATACACCATGTACCCCTGCAATGACACAATCATTCTATGGTACCGTAGTGAGGAGGGTCAAATTAACTTTCTGACGTATTTTTTGCATCTCTATCCGATAGATTTTTTTTTTTTGGAATTTGATATTTGAATTTTTTCGACAAAAAAAATTCAAAGCCTTCGATTTTTTTTTTTTAAATTTCAAACCGTCTTAACTCGAAAACGAAAAGCTTGGGAGAAAAACTTCAAATACAAAACTTATAGATCTCGTCGAGTACTACAAAAAAAGCCTATGAGAAGTATCCCTCCAGGGGCACTGTTTTCGAGAAAATCGACCTCGAAAATTTTAACAAAATTACAAGAAATTTCAACTTTGACGGCCAATATCTCAAAGACAAAAACGATCTGGAATCTCAATAAAAAATATTTTGTAGATAATTTCATCCTCTTTCAAGTGAGATATGACTCGGAACGATCGGTTAAGAAATAGCGGAGTTATAGGCGAAAAAGTGGTCTCGTGTCGGATACCCACAATTT